GCTTAACGAGGTTTATTTAAAAGCCCGATGAAGCACGAGAGTCTCTGCCAATGAAATAAGCTCCGTCATTGATGTCAGACTGTCAGTGGGACCAGTAACGTGGTACCTAACCAGCTGCTGATGCTGCGTGTCTCCTCTCAGAGAGTCATCAGCAGAGATGGCAACATCCTGTCGAAGACGTCTGGGATGCAGAGCGGTGGGGAGGAGGAGCAGGATGAAGACGCCCACACCCCTCTGCCTCCCCGTATGAAGATCATCAACGACCCATCAGATCCTGATGACAAGGTAACTCAGAGAGTTTTCCCTTAGGTTACATCTCAACCTCCCAGACTGCTGTAGGTGTGGCTTAGGTCAGCCTGTAATTACACAAGTGTTACTTACACTGCATGGTTTACTCTGATCAGCTGGATCTGCTTAAAGGATTAAAAACAGATCACCAGCTTCAGGCGCTGACATCGATCCTGCAGTGTGTCCATCTGTAGCTGCTGTCTTCTGCCAATTAACAGCTTTTCTCTCCTTCCTGCTCTTTGTCTCTTTGATTTTCTCTGTATTTCTTTCTTATCCTTCTAACATTTAATAAATACCTCTACTTTCTGTTCCCCCTGTCCTCTCTCAGTCTTCGTCCTTGCTCACCTCTCTGCAGTCTTCCTCTGAGGTGCCCAGTGCTGCAGAGCTAGTTAGCGCCATAGAGAAACTGGTTAAAACCAAGATGGTGAGTGTGTGTTAGTTAGCACGGTCTAACAGCTGCTCTTCTTTCATTTTAAAATGACTTGTGACGTCCACACCAGCCTGTCTGCTGTCTAAAGAAACTAACTCACTATGTTATGAAAAGTATGAACTTGAGTGACATCCATAGCTCGCTCTGGGAACACTCTGAGAAGGTGGTTTCCACAAGGTTTAGCGGTGTGCATGAAAGCATCGTGGTATGCTGTTCTTATGCTGACTTGTCTATGGATTGGTAGACAGACCTGCTTTACACCACTGCATCTGATGCTTTGCACTGGGTCATGTAAGGCCTGGATGCTCTGCCATGAAAGCCCAATCCATGAAGCTCTATATGCTCTGTTCTTGAGCTTATCTGAAGTGCACATGAAGTTTGGAGGTCTGTAGTGCTCGACCATGACTGCCTACAATTCACTGAGCTCCTGAGAGCGACCGTTCCTGGTAGTCTGGACACCAGGTGCTTGTTTTCCTACACCTGTGGCCACAGCACAGACTGGAACACCTGAGTTCAGTGAGTTGGAGGGGTGAGGGAACACTTAGCATAGCTTTGGAGCACTTTGTAGTCAAGTGATGGTAAAAATTCACGTTCATTCTCAGCTGCTTTCGTTTGTGATAAATGGAGGTCCACAGTCTGGCGGTGTGTTCATGTGGACCTGGTACTACCACAGAAACATCCGGACTCAATTCAATTCAATTTTATTTATATAGCGCCAAATCACAACAAAAGTCGCCTCAAGGCGCTTCATAGATACAGAGAAAAACCCAACAATCA